TGTGTGGCCTGGTGACTGTGTTGATGACCGTCTGCGCAATGCGCATGCTCAGTTCACAAAGTTGTGCCGACAATACAAAATCAGAGTTTCAGCAGCTTTTAGATGTGGGCAATTGTTTGATACAAGATCAATTGTTTGAGACAAGATCTGGCGCTAAGCCTTCCAGGCAAAGCTCATTTGACTGTGCAGTGGGGGTTGCTTTTTCTGGTATGTGTGCAACTGACCAGGGTTGCACGAATCCTCAGGGTTGATCGACATGTTTACTGGGTGAAAAGCATCATGTATGGCGCACATCTTTTTGTGCATGCAGTGCTTTTTTGTGCAGCATGCATGGCATGCATTGCATTGCATGCGACCTGCAAACTAGGTTGCCTGAGAGTTGCCTGGGGCTCACATAAGTTGGCAAAGCCCAACAGGTCCCATGAAAGCGCGCAATCTTTTGGTGGTCTTGTTATTCCTGGCCCAGTTGCAGCTTCCTAAAGAACACAATGATTTTGTCCCCTGATTGCATTTGGTCAATCTTGTGAATCTCAGCGCTTTCACCTCCAACCATCCACCCGCACACAGTGTCCATCCCATAGAGTCCTGTGAGTCTTGAGGTGGAAGTCTGCTCTGGATGCGGCAACCTCAGCAAGGCGATGCGCATGTGCGATTGGAAAGGCAAATCATTTGATGTGGCTTGGCTGATGGGGGGCTTTTGATCGAGAGTCGAACAACTTGGTCTGGGTTCATGGTTTGCACCAATTCAGTATATGGGTATTTAATGGCCAGTTCATCGCAATTGATAAGTTCATCGCAATTGATAATGATACCTGCTACCCCTTCGAATTTGTGTTTGATTGGCTAAGATCCTCTACAGCCGGAACCACGACTTCATGCGCACAGTTGGGTTCTTGGCTGTGCTTGCTGCAGCATCTCTTCCGCAATGGGGGAATCGTGGAGTCTACATTCTACATGTGTGCATGCATGCATGTTTCTGTTGGATCTAGTTTCCTAGGTATGGAACACCAAACCTGGTGGACTGCTCGTCTTCGCCCCTCCTTGCTCCACCTGGGTTTTCCTGAGTACCTCTGTTACAGGGCGCAGTTGGAGCCAACCTCAAGGCAATGGCTGCCGATGTGTGACTCTGGCCAACATCTTTGCCCATCGCATGATCTATGTGCTACTCAGCGGCCTAGGTATCGTAGGTCTGTTATTTTTGTGGATCAATGGTTGCTCCTTGCTCCGAGCTGTTTGTGGTTGTGCCAGGCTGTACTTTGCGGTCAAGCGTGGGGTGAGGATCCTAATCGAACAACCAGCAAGCTCAGCTACTTGGTTGGACTAGCTGCATGGTCTCATAGGCTGTTAATGTTAGCTGACACTCTGAATTGAATCTTTTGCTGGCCACTACCTGTCTCATGTGAAAGCTTGCGTGCTTATGGAACCCAGCTCATGTATTAAAATTGAGGTTCTTTGGGCATGGAGACCCATGAGGCGCTTCTTGCAATGGTCTGGGTGCAGGACTAAAATGTGTACGATTCCAATGATCGAGCTGTTGGTTGACTTTGTGCCTGCAGTTTCAGATTATGGTTCACACTTGCTTGCAGTTCCCTCGGCAGGAGGGTGGCCTTTCCAATGGGTGCCTATGGTGGAAAGACTCTCAAAATGACTGTGCCCTTTGGTTGCAGCCAGGGGTTCCAGTTTCCACATGTGAAGTCAAAAAACGGACAGGTATAACATACATGTTCTGCAGGCGATCCATAGGCATCAAAATACCATAGTGGCATCGCCCTTATGAAAAGACACCTATAATTAAGAGCCTGTCATGCGTAACCTTGGCCTGTGCTCGCAGTTGACCTAGGGTTTGGAGCAACTTGAGCAACATCAACACCCTGCATCGACCAATACCTTTGAAGCTCCTCAAAGAGACGTTGGCCAGGAGGGAATGGTGTGTGGGTGGGGGGGCTTCTGCGATACACTCAAGGTGACCCGTTGAATTTGGATTGCGTGGGTGGTCTTTGCATGAATGTAAGTGCATCAATAGTCTTGCATGCCTGCTTAAATCCATATACGATATAGAATAATTCATCAATCTATCTCGCCACCATGCATGTTCACAATATAGAAAGACCATGTCGCTCAAACCTGGCCTAGACCCATCTGGTCACCGAAGGATTCACGGCAAATCTGAGCTGGTGAAGGTAGAGAAGACCAAGAGTGGGAGGACTACAGTGACTGGTAATTCATCGAAGCTTCGTGATTCGGCCCACTATCCACTTCAGTTTGGGCTAACAGTGGCAAACCTTATCATGCCTGAGGGTGCCCCTGATGCTTGCGCGGACTGGGTTTGGGGTGTGTTGATCACTGGTTTTCAATCTCAAAGCTGAAGAGCTAGCCGAGTCGATATATATTATACTACCTGATCCCAACTGGCGCCCTTGGTTCCATGACCCTGAGGACCTCACCATAGCAGCTTCAGACCCTGACTCGTCTGATGATGATGGTGCCCTTGACGACCTGATCAAAGGCCGTTGCAATGCCAAATGGCGGCAGCTGTAGCGGTTGCCAAATGGCAGCGACTGAGCTCAGTATGATGGGTTGAAAGGTGGGCTTGCAACCTGCACACACATGTAGGGAATGCTAGATCGAGATGTTACACATGCAGGTACTGCGATGTCAGCAGCTGGTGCATGTCTCACGTACATTTGATTTTTTTGAAGCCATTCATGCTCCTGTGGAAAACCTTCGATCCAGCTTTTGTCATGAACAGGAAATTGAAGCGATGGGTGGCCTTTTTGGAAGCCATGTCGGATGAACGGATTTGCCTTTCTTGTTGGGCGGAATTACTAGAGCCTTACTTGACCAGGCTGGGTATAGTCGGTATATATCAATATAATTGCCTTTGTTTTTGAGAGAGGTCGAAAGGACCTAAAGCAACCACCTCTTTTACAGGGGGTAGTGGGGAGGTTACTATATATAGGTCCTTTATAATCGCGCTTGGTCACGCGCTGCAGCTGCCAGGGAGGAGTTCAAAGAGCTCATCCAAATCTCCAAAGACTGCCGGTGTGATGTAGATGATCCACAACATCGAGACCAATGAGAGTTCCCGGCTTTGCATAATTCGTGATTCTAATTTGACCAATTGGCTAGAGTGATTACATTCTATTGGGTGGTGGCTGTGGCAAGTGGAAACATGAATCACAGTATAACTCTGGAATCCCTTCTCGATCGAGGATCCCTAAATTCATCCCTATTCCATTGTCCACTGGGCCACCTGGCCACCGATGACATTCGTAACATTTCCCAAGCAACCTGCCGTGCAAGAGCCAGTGTGGTGTGTGCTTGATGGTCTATAGCTTCGATCTTGGTTGGAACATCGAAGACCTTAAGCGAATCGTCCAAAACTTGCTAAGTGATCCAGAATGTGCGTGTCAGTGCGTGTCATTTGCGTGTCATTCTATACATCGAAGACAACACCAAATGGTCACTTAACAACATCAAATGGTCACTTAAGCCTTCAAACGGTCACTTAGTGACCACATTTGTAGATTTGTATATCGAAGCCCAAGCGTGTCAGTTGCGTGTCAGATTTGGCTCAGTGTGTTGCATTTTGCAACTTTGCGGTGATTTGCAAAATCATCCCTGCGGAGGTCTGATCGATGTGTTTTATCTGTCTTTGTCCTAGGTCCTAGATCAGGTAATCCTGCTATGAAATGTCTACCTTCGTCATGTTTCAGGACCCATGGCGAAAGTAAAGGGTGAAAAAGTTTCGAGTTCAACTGATGTAAAGATCAAAAAAAACAAGGAGGCTGACAAGACACCGGAGGTTGAAGGCTTGAAGGACAAGAAGCCAAAAAAGAGCAAGGAGGCTGACAAAGAGACTGTTGTGAAGAAGGGCGACCTTTTGAATGAGGTTGGGAGTGCCAAGGGCAAGGAGACGAAGAAAGACAAGACAAACAAGAAGGAGACGAATGAGGGGAAGACAAAGGGATCAAATATTGAAGCTCCTGAAGGCGTCACTGCGAAGGAGTTTGACCTACTGGTTGAGAGCAGTGTGAGGATAGAGGAGAAGATACGTTCCCAAGCTGAGGCCAGGAGGGTTAGGAAAGAAGCAAGGAAAAGGGCCCAGGACACTGGGAAGCTTGAGGAGAAGACTTCCAGGGAGGCTGAGGGGCAAGACGAGAAGAAATACAAAGAGACCGAGACAGAGGCTTGCAGAGAGGAGAAGACAAGTGCAAAGGAGGATGAAAGGACTCTGACAGCTGAGAGCGCAAAGGATGAGAAGAAAGACAAGAAGACTAGGAAGGAAGATAACAGAAAAGCGAAGATAGAGGCACAGGAGGATGCGAAGACTTCCAAGGAGACTGAGAAGTCCAAAGGCAAGGAGAAGGATGTAGATGCAAAGAAGGATGATGAGTCCAAAGGTGAAAAGCGCACGAAGACCAAGGACAAAAAGAAGGATGAGAAGACTTCCAAGGAGGCTGAAGGTTCAGAA